TATTTCCCTATGCCATAGGCATGTTGCAAGGATAATTCATGAATGATGATGACATGCTCAGATAATACGGTATGGGGACCATGTAGGAAGATAGAACTGTTATGATCCTATAGGTTTAAAAAACCAAAAGAGTCAGGCAATAATTCATTAATAAATGTGGATTATCTACTGTTCCCTTGTAACAAGTTTGCCTAATGTACACCATCCCCGCATTTAATATAAACAAGCTCATAGGTGTCTAATCCTTCCATCTGCTATCTCCTAAGAACAATATTTACTTTTTAACATCTGCACTGCATTTTCCACAGTTCAAACACAGATATGGCTCCTGGAATGTACACAGAATTTAGCAAATTTGTAACTAAGTTTTCTTAGTAACCATATAGTTTTCCCCTGACAAGGATGGGATCAGACTTCTTCAGTAGGATTTCCTCTGCTCAACTAATTTCAAGCAGCTCTTGAAGCAAATAGTTCATTAGGTCATTAAAAAAGAAAAGCTCAAGGGAATTGATGCAGGAGAGCGAGAAGCGAACAGTGTGCACAGTAATTAGATTTTCAGATGATCCCTCTCCCCCAGTGCACATGTGCAACACCTCCCCCACACACACACACACCTTACCCTTAGTAAACCATTCAGTGGAGCTTTGTGTATAGTTCTCTGGGAACCAGTGTTCCAGAGATTAAAGATGTAATCACGTCATGATTTCCACAGAAATATATTAAAAGATGTCTGTTTTCTTACAGTGCATTATTATACCTTTAAGGCACTAAAAACTGACATAAAGAACAATATACTCCTCCGCAAGCTTTTAAACATTTAGTGTCACTTTTCCTCAAAATTCAGCTTTCAATGCCACAGGTTTCACCTGGTCTTTTTGTGCTGTTCTGTGGTTGGGGGTGGAAAGCTGGTGCATCTCCAAACTTGGGAATTCCCCCTGCTTGAAGGAATCCTTGGGTGGCATAGACACAACATAGCCAACTGCTGGGCTGTCCCCTACCCAGCACGGGGGGGGAAGGTGTGTGTCGCATTTGGGGGAGGGGGGGGCGGGGAATGGACATGGTTGCAGTGTCATTATACCCTGGCAATTTCCGGATGATGAATAGTCCCTGGTGGGATAGAGCTAGCACAGTGCGCAGCCAGAGGGCTGCTCTAAACTATAGTAGAGGCCACACCATCCCCATTACTGGCAGCTGAAAATGGCTTCTCTGTGGCGCCTCACTTTGGAGACTGCTGTCCTCCTTTTATACCCAGAACATGTAAAGCATAAGTAGAGGTTGTACAAGCTTCCACTATACTTCGATACATCTCCACCCTGGCCTGCAGTAATGGATAATGCATTCAGCATACCTAGTAAATCTTCGGCCCTCAGCCAGATTGAGATTCAACCACCCAACAAGGGTGCTAATGAACATAAATTCCAGTGATGATTTTGTTACCTGTTCATTAGGAACTGGATTGAGACCCACAGGACCCATCAGATGGTAATGACATTTGGTCACTATCTACCAGGCATGGATTTGACAACTATGAATTAATAATTTTACATTACACTATGCTGCTAGAAAAGTAGGAGACACTTGGAGAAATGGAAAGAGTTGTGCATTTTAGAAATTCAATTCTTCGGGCAGGTTTACTTTTGGTTGCAGCTACTATGAAACTCTCATTTTCAGTTTAAGGCTGTCCTTGTTTCAAAGGCTGATAATATTTTAAATTTCTCTGTTGTGAGGATTAACTAGTTAATGTTCATAAATCCTTCAGAAACCTAAAATTGTTACATATGAGCTAAGCGTTGTTGTTATTACTAGGGACTATGAGTGAAATCCTGGCCTCACTGAAGTCAATGGGAGCTTTGCCTTTGACTTGACTAAGACCTAGATTTCACCTAGATTGTATTTGAAAAGGGGGGTCTCAATTTTGAGGACAGTGAAAGGCGTATTTTAGACCTCTCAGTTTGATATCCTCTTAAAATAACAGTTTCCCCCTCTCTCTCTCTGTGAATTTCTACCAGTTCACCTTTTAGACCTTTCCATCAATATCCATCTAGAGTTTTACAATTACACTGCAGAAGTAAGGACTGAGATACATTTCTTGGAAAGCAAATTGTTATGTGGATATGGACAAGCAATATCAAAATACTAAATGAAAAACCATCATGTATTGAAACAGCCCACCTACCAACCCTCTAGAAATATACATATTTTGTTATAAGGATGACATCCACCTCTGTGCAAAGGGCCAGTGCAAGGCAGATGTACCACTAGAATCCCTCTTAAGTTCTCAGAACAGGTTATAAGGGTCCATAGGCCTTGTGCTGATTCTTCTGCAGAAGAATGAATTTCTTCTGATGTAAATACAAGGAAGCAAGTTTCTTATAATAATTTGCATCCTTGCATGCTTTTAATGTATTGTAATTAAAATTCCCAAAATGTGACCCTAAAATGTTTCTATACACAAGCCAATGAGTACAACCATCCAGGACTGAAATTATTTTACTGACCATAGAAGAATAGTATGTAATTAAAATGACATCTGCAGCACTACCTGATGGAATAAGAAAAAGTGACATCCCAGATCTCATAAACGGCAAGCATATTATTAGATCTAAACCTGGCTGTAAAATTACTATCTACCCAGTGCGATTATCTTCAAGCAGTGTTTCATTTACTGATATAGCAATGGTGATAACAGGCTGACTTTGCTCATCATGTTATTTTTTAAGCCTTCCTTTCCTTTCCCATTTATTCTTCATGCATGTTAGTTGCAGGTGGGAGAAAAACGTGTTCCAGCTGAATCACTTAGTTGTTTTACAGTTTGTTCCAAATGATGTTTTTCAGCAAAAATTAAATAAACAAAATTTTAAAATGGAGGTGAAGAGGATAAAGATGCAAACAATGCAACATCTAAGAATGGGGCGATTTAAAGGTCACCCACTGGACAAATGCACCACCATGAGTTCTATAACATGGCTCATGGCTATCATCCTTAATACAGAGATGCAAAACAGAGTCTACAGATAAAAACCTGGCCTCACTGAAGTCAATGGCAAAACTCCCATTGACTTCAATGGGGTCAGGATTTCATGACAAGTCTTAACATTCAGTGTTCCAGCTGTAGTCTTTGCAGATCATATTTCCATATTGACATGAAGGGCAGCTGCATTCTTCTCCATTTTCTATATAAATTAGCATGAGGCTTTTTGGTTCCTGGAAAGTTATGAATGTTGCCTGTATCTGGCAAAACTGGGTGGCAATCTATTCACAAGAGTCAACATTTTCAGAAGTGCCTAAAGATTTTGGGTGCCTCTGTTTTTGGATGACCACCCTGAGACACTTAAAAGGCATTGAGGCACCAAACTCTATAGTCACTTTTCAAAGTCTTGGCCAAGTTCTTGAACAATAAGAACATCGTTACCAACATTTGTAAAAGTTACCATGGGACAATTTTTCAAAGTAGACAAGAGCTTGGGTGAAGGTAGAATTACAGCCAGCAGCAGGTTGTGTGTACAAATAAATAAATAAATAACCACTTCCTACTAGACCTCCCAGAATTTGCAAATATACCCCGTCCTGCTATCCCTATAAGCTCCCCACTCTGCATGAATCTTTGAGCCAGCCCTCATCATATCTACAGCTAGATCAATAAGGAATCAGTCACTCGGGCTGTAGTCTGTGCTGGAAGTGGTGACTCTATAGGCAGATCAGCCATCCCACCTGTAAGCAAAAGCACCTATATGACAGCCTGAGCCAGCAGCCATGCGCTTCATCTGCATGAGCCATGATTGTGGTAGGGCACACCAGGGGGTAGGGAAGAGTGAAAACAAAGAATGCGGGGGGTAGAGGGGAGAGGCATTCAGAGGCAGAGATGGACAGGAGGCTGATAGCTAGGGAGAGAAGAGGGAGAAAGAGGAGGAATGGCTAGAGGAGAAAATGAGGGAAAGGAAAATAAGACAAAAGCATAGCAAACATAAGAATACAAGACAGAGCAGGAGCGGTAGAGTCAAAAGGAGCAGAGCACAAAACAAAATAGAAAATATCAATATCTCTGAACACTGATCTGTGTTTTAAATTAATCTCTGATATACTGCCGAGTAGGCTGAAATCCATTATTTTCTCAAAGGTGGCATTGCAGATGTGGGGGTAGGCTGTTTGAGAGGGATGGTTGGGAGGATCTGTTGTTCTTGCATATGTCATAACCCCAAGCGTGGGGTGATGGATCTCAGTGTGATTTGTTTTCCTCCCATTCAATTGATGTCAAACCTGGATACTGGATAGGGCACCTCCTATATTTCAGAATTAACAGCTGGTTGGCGTGCATGCTCTGTCAAACTTTACAGCCAAATTAAGTTATATGGGAAAAAGAAGCTTGTTTCCTCCAAAATAGAAATCTTGTTTACATTCCTCATTTCTGTCTATAAATCTAGAATTAAGGGGTCAACGTATCTGTGAGCCTAAAATGGAGAGCCCATGTTGAAGAACAGTCCAAAAGGAAGAAAGCCTGAAGGGCTGTTATGTCAGACTGAGAACTGAGCAGTTTCTTTATTATAATGCCCAGTGTCTACACATACTCTACAATGCCACAGTATTAGATTAGAAGAGTCCCATGTCTAGATGAAAAAGAAACTGTCTGAAAAGTGATGGGTGATAGCTGATTTAGTTGAAATAATAAATACCTCTTGGGTCTAGAAGCTGGGCTGGAAATCTCCTGAGATCAGGCTCCTTATGAGTACTTCATTGTTTTAAACAGGGCAGAAATACTAAGACAGATGCTTTTCTTGTATTTTAGTAGTTGTTCTCTTCTCCCCCGCCCCCTCCGCCATACACACACACACACACACACACACAGGGGCAGAAGCATGTAAAAGTTAGACAAAAAACGTCACCAATATTATTTTGAACATTAAAATCAGGATGAGTTTGCATTTTAGACCAAGGGGTGTGTGAGTTCTGATTTTATCCAAATACACTTGCCCATCCTTACATTTATTACAGAGATGCCTTACCTCATTTGCATCTTGTTGGTCTCTCAAGGCAATCATATTCTTAATGGCTTTGATAAAAAATCCATTCATCTCATCACGACTCTTGTTTGGCAAAATCCGGGACAGTGGGATCATTATGAATGGAAATGCAACTGTAAGAGATTATTAAAAGGAGAACACTGAAGTTAGATGTAGGAACACTTATCTCCCCCATCCCAACTTTATTTGGGCCCCCATTGAGTAGGCTGTTTTAATTTTATACCATTTATTTCTCCGATTTCATCCCTCCATTACAGACTGATATTGCATATCCTCCAGCCTCTTTTGGTTAGGAATCTCTTGTTAGTCACATGCCCTCTAAAGTTCGCCACGATTTGCAGTTTTATCCCACAGTACAAAAATTCAATGCGACCTCATAATGCTGGAGCATCATGGTGAAAAAAGGAGTTTTCCCCCCTCCGACCCCCAGATAATTAAATCTGAGATTTTTAATCCTACAAGCTAGCTTGGCAGGGTATGGAATATGCGGCCAGCACATCCCTCGGCCTGCGCCGCTTCCAGCAGCTCCCATTGGCCTGGAGCAGCGAACCACGGCCAGTGGGAGCCGCGAGCGGCCGAACCTGCGGATGCGGCAGGTAAACAAACCTGCTCGGCCTGCCAGGGGCTCTCTCTAAACAAGCAGCGTCCCAAGTTTGGGAAACACTGATTTGGATGGATGGTAACCTATCTCCCATTTCCTGCTCCCTGTCCATGTATAGGAAACTGGTTGCCTACTTTACTCTTTCTACTACACACCCTTTTACAGAAGAGACCAAGGCAGAGGGAACCTGGAAGCAGGATGTCACTAAAACGTAACCGGGGCCCAAGGATGCACTCCTTCCCCTTAGTATTTATAATCAGTGACTAGAAACCTGAAGTATTGCACTTCAGTATAACTAAGCTGGCAGGTGAACCATTACCCACTAAGCTATCAAACAGCTCCCTGTTTGGCTATCACAACAGTGCACCATGAGCCTCTTCAAGCAGCTTTACCAACACTAACTAATTGTCATAACACTCCTGTGAGATCAGCATGCAAGCCAAGAAGCTGTTGTGACTCAAACTGTGTGATGCACTAGTGGCAAGGATAATGCTGAAGACCAGCCTTCTCCATGCACACACCCCCACATGATGCAGAAACTTACTTTCTTTAATGGAGGATTTGGCTCCCTAAGGCCTTATTGATACCCGGCCCACTGAAGTCAATGTCAAAACTTCCATCAAGTTCAATGGGGCCAGGATTTCACACAAGGATTTTACAGATACACAATTCCCATTGGGGACAGCTCCATCGGTGACAATACTGGTGCAATCTGCAGTGCAGACAATGTTCAGATGGGCTCAGGAACTTTGTACCATCATGTTTTCTAACCCTACTCTGAGCAGGTCTAAATAACAAGATGGTAAAAAGGAATGAGCCCGGTCTACACGACAGCTTCTGCAATTATTTTTCCTAATTATCTAAGTATTGACAAGGCCTTAGTCGCAATCAGCCTCAGCTGGACTAGAATTTATGACCTAAGGCTTTATATTCCATTACCAGTCCCATAATGCAGTCCCTATTTTTCACCTCAAAATAAATACATTCTTTTAATGTACTCCTGTACCAGCATTTATCATCTTCATCCTTTACAGACACCAACCAGACAGCTGCTGTTTAAATGATAATTTTAAGGACTTATGATATCAGGACACACTTATCCCCTCACCTCATACCCCTTCTGTATGATTTGATTTTGTTGGGGGTGGGCTTTTTATTCCTACCAAGTAAACAGAGGGCAGTCAAACTGCTCGAGACAGGGCCGGTTCCAGACACCAGCGAAGGAAGCAGGTGCCTGGGACGGCCAATAGAAAAGGGCGGCAGTCCGTCCGTTATTGGGGCGGCACATCCGGGTCTGAGGCGGCAATTCGGTGGCGGGTCCTTCAGTCCCTCTCTTACTCTTCACCAGCACTTTGGCAGCAACTCCATCAGTCCACTTCAGTTTTCGGCGGCAATTCGGCAGCAGGTCCTTCACTCCCTCTCTTCCTCTTTGGTGGCACTTCGGCGGCAGCTCAATCGGGTTTTTCCTTTTTTCTTTTTTTTTTCTTCGCTTGGGGCGGCAAAAAAGTTGGAGCTGGCCCTGGCTCAAGCATGGGCCTTATTAAGAATCTGTCAGTAGTCCACGGACCGCACTTAATTCACATAACATGGATTACATTGCAGTGACTCAGTTTCACTATGAAAGTGTAGCTCACAGAGACTACAGGTCCCAGAAGACTTCCACTCAGATCAAGGTGAAGCATTGCCTTTTGGGACATGCAGTTCATAAGGAAATATGTTCACAATGAAGATGAGGGTGGATGCGGGCCACATTGTAGAAATCTACTGGGTGTATTTGGTGTATGGGCTGCACTGTGAATACCTCTAAATCAAAGCTTTCAGTATGTCTTCCTGCTCCCACTTCACAAGGTTTTGTGACTCAAGAATAATTTTTTAAAAATAAATATAAATAAATAAATAGACAAAGATGGGCTATACTTACTACTTAGAATTAGGATGGGCCTAAGCATTGAAAATTCAAAGAATTTTTTGCAGTTCTTAACAAAGGTATCATCAGGATTCTTCTGAGAATCCACGTGGGTACCGAAAGCCACGCTAGCGACGACATCCAAGGTGAAGCAGCCATAACTCCTGCATTGAATTTAAGAACATGACCTCATTAGCTGCTTGTTTGCATCTCCATAGAATCACAGAAATGTAAGACTGGAATGGACCTCAATAGGTCATCTAGTCAAGTCCCCTACACTGAGGCAGAACTAAGTACTATCTAGACCATCTCTTGCAGGTGTTTGTCTAACCTGTTCTTAAAAACCTCCAATGACAGAGACTCCACAGTAATTTGATCCAGTGTTTAACTACCCTTAAAGTTAGGAAGTTTTCCTAATGTCTAACCTAAATCTTCCATGAAGCAAAAGGTATAAATTGCAGTTTGTCCTATCCTCAGTAGATAAGGAGAACAATTTATCATCCTTTCCTTTATAACAACCTTTTAGGTACTTGAACAGTGTTATCATGTTCCCCCCTCAGTCTTCTCTTCTCCAGACTAAATAAAATCAATTTTTTAAATCTTTCCTTGCAGGTCATATTTTCTAGACCCTTAATCATTTTTGTTGCTCTCCTCTGGACTTTCTAGAGTTTATCCACATCTTTCCCAGAGTGTGGGGCACAGAACTAGACACAGAGCTCCTGCTGAGGCCTTATCAGTGCTGAGTAGAGTGGAAGAATTCTTGCTTACAACCCTCCTGCTAATACAGCCCATAATGTTCGCTTTTTCTTTTCCAACAGTATTATACTGTTGACTCATATTTAGTTTGTGGTGCACTATGACCCCCAGATCCTTTTCTGCAGGACTCCTTCCTAGGCAGTCATTTCCCATGTTATATTTGTGCAGTTGATTACTCCTTTCTAAGTATTGTACTTTAAATTTGTTCTTATTGAATTTCATCCTATTTATTTCAGACCATTTCTCCAGTTTGTCAAGATTATTTTTAATTATAATCTTGTCCTCCAAAGCACTTGCAACCCCTCCCAATTTGGTATTGTCCACAGACTTTATAAGTCTACTCTCTGTGCAGTTATCCATATTATTTATGAAGATATTGACTAGGATCTGACCCAGGGCAGTTCCCTGCAGGACCCCACTCAATATGACCTTCCAGCTTGACTGTGAACCGTAACTACTCTCATGGTACATCTACACTACAGGGGGGAGTCAATTTAAGATACGCAAATTCAGCTACGTGAATAGCGTAGCTGAATTCGACGTATCGCAGCCGACTTACCCCGCTGTGAGGACGGTGGCAAAATCGACTTCTGCGGCTTTCTGTCAACGGCGCTTACTCCCACCTCCGCTGGTGGAGTAAGAGCGTCGATTCGGGGACCGATTGTCGCGTCCCAACGGGACGCGATAAATCGATCCCCGAGAGGTCGATTTCTACCCGCCAATTCAGGCGGGTAGTGTAGACCTAGCCTCTGAGTATGGTTTTCCAACCATTTCTACACCCAGTTTATAGCAAGTTTGTCTAGGCTGCATTTCCCTAGTTTGTTTATGAGAAGGTCATGTAAGACAGCATTAAAAGCCTTACTAACGTCAAGATATATCATATCTACTGTTTCCTCCCTATCCACAAGGCCTGTTACCCCTGTCAAAGAAGTATATTACATTGATTTGACGTGATTTGTTCTTGACAAATCCATGCTAACTATTACTTATCACCTTATTATATTCTAGGGGCTTACAACATTTATTGTTTGAATATTTGCACCATTATCTTTCTGGGTACTGAAGTCAAGCAAGCTGGTCTATAATTCCGTGGGTTGGCCATATTCCCCTTTGTATCAATAGGTACTATATTTGCCCTTTTCCAGTCCTCTGGGATCTCTCCCGTCCTCCAGGAGTTCTCAAAGATAATCATTAATGGCTCAGAGATCTCTTCAGACAGTTCCTTAAGTATTCTAGGATTTACTTCATCAAGCCCTGCCAACCTGAAGATATCTAACTTGTTTAAGTAATTCTTAACTTGTTCTCTCAATATCTGCTTCACAAATATCACATTATATCTTTTCCCCCTTTGTTTTTTAGATTTGGATCAATTTTCATTAGATTTGAGTTTCACCTACAGCAATTTTTTTCCTTATTCTTCTAACAACAAAGGCTAAGTGCTATTAATAATAGCAGCCTCCAGCCTCCACTAAAGTTCACGTGAGAAATTTTAATATTGTTTATATAACCCTTTTGGTCAGGAACTGTACTTCTAAATTATAAAAAGAAAAAAGTTTCTTTATAAATGGTTATAAATCAAATGCAATATGTCAGGGGTTCACAAACAACTATCAAATTATCCACGGTCACAGCCCCCATGTCATCTTATGAAAGACTAGTTTGATTCTAGGTATCAGATTCTCTGGTGCTTTGACCATGAAAAAGCTGCCTCTTTAGCTCAAAAGCAGATCCCTATCTGTGAGAATGTTCCTTATAACCCTGCCAATAATTTCTAACCATACATTGTACAGCAGCATTTCTCAAACTGTGGTCGATGGACCACTGATGGTTTGCACATCATCAGGGACTGAAGGGAGCCACAAAGGAACACAAGGACATTGCTGAGAAACTAAATTATTTCTTTGCATCAGTCTTCACTGCAGAGGATATTGGGGAGATACCAACCCTGGACCTGCTCTTTCCTGCTAATAAAGATGAGGTACTATCAGAGATTAAGGTGTCAGAAGAAGAGATATTGGAACAAAATGATAATTTAAAAAGCAACAGATAGTATACCTCCAAGGATTCTGAAGTTCATCTAAAAAATGACAGCGCAGAATTAAAGGGGGTTCAGAGGAGAGCGATGAGAATGATTACGGGCATGGGAAAACTATCATATAAAGAGAGATTGCAGAGACTGGGATTGTTTACCTTAGAGAGAAGATGAATAAGAGAGGATATGATACAAGTATATAAAATAACTATATACTTGTATATGAAATAGTCTAGAGAAGGTAGATCGGGAGCTTCTGTTCTCCCTGTCTCATAACATAAGAACAATGGGACAGTCAATTTAATTAAAAGCTGGAAAATTCAAAACCAATAAAGGGAAATCCTTTTTCACTTAATTAGCCTGTGGAACTCATTGCTACAGGAAGTTACTGAGGTCAAGAATTTTGCAAGATTCAAAAAGGAATTGGACATTAATATGGATAACAAGAATAACCAGAGTTATAATAGTTAATGCCAACAAAAATTTTGAAAGGGATATTCAACCTCATACTTCAAGGTTTATGCCAATCTCTGACTATTTAGAGATGAGGATGAGAACTAAAGTTGAGGCAAATTATCCTACAACTGCCTATCTTGGGGTTCCTTGCCAGCTTTTGGTGCTGGCACTGTCAGAGACAGGATACTGGACTAGATGGGTCTGATCCAGTATGGCAGTTCCTGTGTTCATATGTTTCTAAGTGAATGTTTCTATTCATAAGTGAATAAGGAAAAGTTATTTACTTGTTCCCATAATATAAGAACTAGGAGGCACCAAATCAAATTAATGGGCAGCAGGTTTAAAACATATAAAAGGAAGTTCTTCTTCACCCAGCGCACAGTCAACCTGTGGAACTCCTTGCCTGAGGAGGTTGTGAAGGCTAGGACAATAACAGGGTTTAAAAGAGAACTAGATAAATTCATGGAGGTTAGGTCCATTAATGGCTATTAGCCAGGATGCGTAAGGAATGGTGTCCGTAGCCTCTGTTTGTCAGACGGTGGAGATGGATGGCAGGAGAGAGATCATTTGATCATTACCTGTTTGGTTCACTCCCTCTGGAGCACCTGGCATTGGCCACTGTCGGTAGACAGGATACTGGGCTAGATGGACCTTTGATCTGACCCAGTATGGCCATTCTTATCAGTGGCGTAGCCAGGGTTGCAGCCGAGGAGGAGCGGTGGAGAAAAAAGGTGCCGGTCCTTCGGTGGCATTTCGGCAGCCGGCGCATGCGCCGAAATGCTGCCAAAAGACAGAGCAGCGCATGCGCAGGGCCGCCCCGCTTCCCCATCCGGAGCGCTTTCCGGGGCACCGAGACCCCCGGCCACGCTCTCAGGGCCAGAGTCCCGGCCGGAGCGCCCGGAGCCCGCGGCCCTGCTGCACCGGCTGGAGCGCCGGGAGCCCGTAGCCCCGTTCTGCCGGTCGCCCGGAGCGCCAGGAGGTGGGAGCCAGCAGGCCAGCCCACGAAAAAAAAAAAAAACCCCAGAAGCAGCTGAGGAGGAGGGGGGGGTGCCCAGGTGGGCGGCGGGGATCAGTGCACCGCTGCTGTTGCTACTCACTTCATCAACAACAAAAGAAGTGTCCTCCCCCAACTGGAACTCGTTCATCTTTCCTCCGGCTCGGACCGCAGCCGCTCACACCGCCAGCCTGTAGCGAACGCCCCGTCCCCGTCCCCTGATAACTCCTCCGCCATTATCAGGGGATGGGGCATTCGCTACAGGCTGGCGGGGTGAGCGGCTGCGGTCTGAGCCAGAGGAAAGATGGACGAGTTCCAGTCGGGGGAGGAGACTTCTTTTGTTGTTGATGAAGTGAGTAGCAAGAGGGAGGAGACAGCGGAAGGACCCATAAGTGACGCCGAGTAAGTATGAAAATTAAAAAGGCGCCACTTTTGGGGAATGTGGTCAGGGGAAGCAGCCGCTTCACCTGAACCCCCCTAGCTGCGCTACTGATTCTTATGTTCTAGTGGACTACAGGGAGCTGATTGGACACAGACTGAAGTATCTGTCCTTTTTGTTTTCAGCTGTTACACTTCATTAAAAGATAGCTACAAATACCTTAGATACTTTCCTAAAATTACTTTTCCAGATAAGCAATTGCTGCCACAGGGATGTAGGGTACGTGTACACTGCAAAGAAAAACCCACGGCTCTGCGTCTTGGAGACCAGGTCAATTGACATGGGCTTCTGAGGTTCTGTTGTAGGGCTAAACATAGCAGTGTATTCATTCCTGCTTGGGAGGGCTCCAAGACCATCAGCCCTCACCAGGTTTCAGAACCAGGGCTCCAGCCCAAGTGGGAACATCTATGCTGCTATTATTAGCCCCGCAGCCTGAGACCTGCGAGCCTGAGCCTGATTGACCCGGGTTCTGAGACTCAGCACCATGGTGTTTTATTTGCAGCATAGACATACCTTTAGAGTGATAATGACTGCAAAGGAGAGGTGTCTCATCAGACACACCCCAGCATTAAGCTGTGATCCACCCTCCGAAAAAGATCGAGAACTCCTTTTGTAAAGTAAGTGTGTATTTAGGGGAAGCGTGACTATTCAAGTATTTTGAAAAGGTGGTTCTCATTTGTAGTATGGTGAATATACCTTTGGATATCAAAAGCCTTGCCAGAATCTGCATACACCTTCAAGTTACTCAGCAGGACATCACATGCTTGGTTTATTAGTGGAGTCATCTGAAAAGGAACACACATGGCATAATGAAAAACCTCAATAATTTCCTCTATATTAGTTACAAACAGTAGATGGTACAGTGCTCACGAGATCTTCTGTATCAGTGCATGAGTAATTTTTTCTGAGGAAGAAGGAATCTTGGAGGGGGGGTGGACAGACACCCCTTGTTTCTCAGGGCTAGTCTACACACTAGAAGCGCTACAGCTGCGCCAGTGCAGCACGTCTAGTAAAGATGCACTATGTTGACTGGAGAGAGCTCTCCCATGAGCATAATAAAACCACCTCCACGAGAGGCGGTAGCTATGTCAGTGGGGGAAGCTCTCCCGTCGACATGGCTGTCCACACCGGTGCTAAGATCGGTGTAACTGACGTCACTCTGGGGATGGCTCATTCACACCCTGGAGCGACGTAAGTTATACTGACATAAGTGGCAGTGTGTACAAGCTCTCAGTTCTGACCACAAAGAATATGCCAGCTCCACCAGCTGGCTGCTGCACAGCCTAAACGCAAGCCAGGAAATCCTGACTGAATGTCCACAGAAGTTGGGTTCCTGTCTAACTCTGGTTACACTTTAGACTGCTATCAAACAAAGACACACCACCTCTTTTCTCCATTATGCCCCAACCCAATATAGATGGTGACTTACAATGACCAGTGTGTACGGTACACTCAAAATGAGATGGTACAGTCTCAAGGACAGGGAACATACCTTCTTTATAACTGCAATCCTAAAAAAATGGATCAGCATGTATAGACCCTTACTTCTGTGTAGAATCCTGTTGAAGGCAGTGAGTTTTGCAGATCTGAAGACTGTTAGCAAAGCACCATATAAATGCCTGGTGTTATAGTCCACTACAGTGTGCAGAGACCAGTATTATCACTACATGGGGAAAAGGTTCTTGGGAACAGCAATTGCCACTACATGGATATGCACATGGTTAATGCCCCTCAAAATACTCTGCTAACAGTCCTTTGCAGGTGATGACACATGATGGTCAAGAGTGGATCTGACCATTAGACACCAATCACAATTATGTTCCATGGGTGGCTTGACTACTTGGGTTAGTGCACAGCCTGTGATCTGAGTGGTTTCCGAGTAGCAGCCGTGTTAGTCTGTATCCGCAAAAAGAACAGGCCATCATGTGCCAGCACTGCCCCTCTGCCATGTACA